CTGGTGCGGGATCGGGCAGTGTTTCGTTCTGCTGTGCATGGGGTCGCTATGAGTCGGAAACGACTCGACGGCACTTAACAACAACAACAACAACAACTCTTCATTTCAGAGTCTCTTTTGACATCCATTTTGGTCTTTTCTTCCTTCCCTGTCTTCTTAATCACTTTTTGCTCTCTTCATGGATGATGTTCTAGATGTCATCCCACAATTCCTCTGGGTTTTGATCACATTGGTGTTCAGTGCATCATACCTATTCTTTACATGGTCTCTAAATTCAGGAGGGATAAATTCAAGACCATATTTTGGCTCTCATGGACTTGTTTTAATTGCCTGAAACTTCAATTTGAACTTGTATATTTGCAGTTTATGGTCTGTTCCACAATCAGCTTCTGGCCTTGCTTTGGCTGAAGATATTGAGCTTTTCTGTCATCTCTTGTCACAGATGTACTCAATAGAATCCTGTGTACTCCATCTGGTGAAGTTCACATGTATAGCCACCCTTTGTGTTACTGAAAAATGGTGTTTGCAATGAATAATTCATTGGTCTTGCAAAATTCTATCATGTGATCTCCAGCATTATTTCTATCTCCAAGGCAAATTTTCCAACTACCAGTAATTCTTCTTTGTTTCCAACTTTTGCATTCTCATCACCAGTGATAATCAGCACATCTTGATTGCATGTTTGATCAATTTCAGACTGCAGAAGCTAGTAAAAATCTTCAATTTCCTCATCTTTGGTGCATAAATTTGAATAATGGTAGCATTAACTGGCCTTCCTTGTAGCTGTATGGATATTATCCTATCACTGATAGCATGGTGTTTCAGGATAGATCTTGAAACATTCTTTGTGATGTTGACTGCCTTACCATTCGTCTTCAATTTGTTATTCCTAGTATAGTAGATCATTTGGTTGTCTGATTCAAAATGGCTAAAACCCATCCATTTCAGCTCACTGATGCCTAGGACATCAATCTTTAGGCGTTATATTTCATTTTTGACAACTTCCAATTTTCCTACATTCATACTTTGTACATTCCATGTTCTGATTATTAATGGTTGTTTGCAGCTGTATTTTTCTCATTTTGAGTTGTGCCACATTAGCAAATAGAGGTCCTGAAAGCTCTACTTTATCCATGTCATTAAGGTCACGTCTACTTTGATGAGGGAGCTTTTTCCCAGTCATATTTTGAGTGCTTTCAACCTGAGGGACTCATCTTCTGGCACTGTATCAGATAATGTTTCAGGGGGATTCATAAAGCTTTCAAGTAATATACCAGACAGTGTTTCATTGCTATTAATAAGGTTTTCACTTGCCAATTCTTTGAAAAGCGGCTGGCCTCTTCCTTCATCTGAGTGTGTCTCAGTCTAGAAACTCTGCTGAAACCCAACTACCCTGGGCAACTCTGCTGGCATTTGAAACACTGGTGACACACCCTCCAGCCTCACAGCAACTCACAAGGCACCACAGTATGACAAAATGACACATGAGTTCATCTCCTTTAGCTGTTACAAACAAGCTCCTACCTGCCTTGGGGCTCTTTCCCTTATCTGTTGTTGACCCTGGCTCCCACTGCTTCCTGCCTTAGGCCTCTCCCCTTTATTGAAGGATTCAATGGATAAAATTTTGAACAATGTAGAAAAAAACAAAGATGAGTGAAGGAATAAACAGAGTCACTAGACCAAAAATAATTGGCCCATATTCTACCATTCCATTTTCTCAAGAACAGAATATACTGAAGAAAGAAGTCCAAGTGGCACTGAAAGAAATGGTGAAAAACAAGGAAATTGAAGGAATAGCCATAGAGATGTTTCAATAAACAGATGAAGACCAGGAGGCTCTTTCTCATTCATGGCAAGAAATTTGGAAGACCTGGCCAAGTAACTGGACGAGATCCATATATGTGCGCATTCCAAAGAAAGGTGATCTAACAGAACGCAGGAATGATTGAATAATATCATTAATGTCACATACATGTAAAATTTTGATGAAGATAATTCAAAAACAATAGCGGCAGTACTTGCTCTGGCAGTACATATAGTAAAATTGGAATGATACAGAAAAGATTAGCCTGGCCCATGCACAAAGATGACATGCAAATTCGTGAAGTGTTCAACATTGAAAACAAAACAATCATGGCAGTATGTTGACAGGGGATTGCCAGAAATTCAAGCTGGTTTTGGAAGATGATGTGGAAAGGAGGGATATCATTGCTGATGTCAGACAGATGTTGGTTGAAAGCAAAAAATATCAGAAATATATTGACCTATGTTTTATTGACTATGCAAAGGTATTCCACTGTGTGGATCATAACAAACATAGCAAGAATTGTACAGAGGGTTGTTATTAGTTGGAGTTGATGAGTTGCCATGTAACATCAGAAATATACTAAGCAAATAATCTGAGAAGCTGGACTGTATGAAGAACATGTCATCAACTTTGGAGGAAGACTCATTAACAATCTGTGATTTACAGGTACACAACCTAGTTTGCTGAAAGTAAAGAAGACCTGAACCACTGACTGATGAAGATCAGGATCTACAGCCTTCAGTATGGATTACACCTCAACATAAAGAAAATAGAATTCCTCACAACTAGACCAATAATCAACATCACAATAAATGGAGAAAAGATTGAAATTGTCATGTATTTCATTTTACTTGTTTCTACAACCAATGCCCTTGGAAGTAGCAGTCAAGAAATCAGATGATTTGCATTAGGGAAATCTGTTGCAAAATGATCAAGATGTCAGTTTTAAGACTAAGGTACACCTCATACAAGGCATGGTATTTTCAATAGCCTCATACGCATATGGTAGCTTGACAATGATTGAGGAAGAATTGGTGCATTTGAATTTTGGTGTTGGCAAAGAATGCTGAAATGTACCATGAACTGCTAGAAGAACTAATAGATCTGTTTTTTAAAAGGTAAAGCTTGAATGCTCCTTAGATGTGAGAATGGTCAGGCTTTGTCTCTTATGTTTTAGTCATGTTGTCAGAAGGAACTAGTCCCCAGAGAAGTATATGCTAGGTAAAGCTGAGGATCAACGAAAAAGGGGAAGACTCCCAAAGAGATGGATTGACATTGTGGCTGTGACGATAGGCTCAAGCATGGCAACAACTGTGAGGATGGTGCAGGGCCAGGCAGTGTGTCATTTCATTGTATGTAGGGTCTCTATGAGTCAAAAGGGATGCAATGGCATTTAACAGTAAAAGCACTCTTATTTAATAAGGGTCTTACTTAGATGATGCAAAATACTTTTAAATTATTACATAAAATGATAGATGACTTCAGCCTTCAGAGAATTTACAATATAAGAAGAATGGATGGTCTTATTCTAAACAGTAGGAGGATACAATTTTCCATTTGCATGGACAGCGTTTGGGTCAGTACTTTGGGTATTGTTGTTGTTATGTGTAGAAGATGCTAAAATGTTTATAAAGTTAAACTCAATTTTTTTTTAATCTGATATTATTTTTCAATGAAGGACGTATCATACCACGAGCTATGATTAATAGGAAATAATTTTAGGATGATGTAAAACTTGATATATTCTTGAATCTGCACAGGGAATGGTAAAGGTTTTTCAGAACAAAGTTAGAAAGTAAGATATGGTATATGTGAGGGAAAAATACCACATAGGAAAGGATAGAAACTGATAAAGAGCCTTATAACAGAGAGAGGAAGTTGAATTCCTTAGCATTTATATTTTTTGGAAAATAAAAAATATAAGGCAATCTCTTAGGTATTACAACTAGAACTTTCCTTTGTTTGTTGGTTTAATTGTAAGTATTTTTGTAAAACACTTGTCTTTAACCTGATAATATTTAAGGAACCATTATAAATGGAGAAGTAGAATTTGTGTTGGCAGATTTAATGCCACAACTGTGTACAGCACAAATGGTCTGGAGTATAGAAAAGACTGCAATACCAGTTCCTGAAGAGCTGGCTCTATGGTTTTTCCAGGCAAAGTTGAACATTGTTACCATCATAATATGATGATATCATGGTGTCACATCTTTAGTAAAGGGCTCAGCAGAAAGCTATGACTGTTTGTAAATATAGCTGACTTTTCTTGTAGCCTTGACACTTAATGACATTCTATATCAAACCTAATTCGAGGATGTGGCAATCTACCTCCGTAGTGATACTGCCTCAGAAACCCAAGGAGGGGTCGCTATGAGTTGGGTCCGACTCGATGGCACATAACAACAACACAACAACAATTCTATATAAGAGATTCAATCCTTAGGTAGACATTAAATGAAACAAAATACATTCCAAGCTCCTTCTGCTCTCATTAAAGTTAATAAAAATGTAATAAATAATAATAAAAAAACCACATTTCCATGTTACCATATACAATTACTCATTGTTAGTGTATGGCTCACAGTAGGGAATCTGAAATGCTGATAAAGGAATGAAAGAGTGGATCAATTCAAATTTGTTGAGGTAAGATCAAATACTGAGCAGGTGTGGGGATTTAAGGAATATTTCTACATTAAGTGATAATTTGTAGGCAGAAAGGGATGCTCTGATGAATTATAATGTGTTTTATCATTAGAGCACTGAAATTTCATATAATTGCAATGATAATATAAAACTGCATTCACAAAAATTAATATTAATCATATTTTCACTTTACCTGAATAATACAAGTGTAAATACATTGAATACTTTAGAAGGATGAGAATTATTTAAGTAAAAAAGGAAAATAATACCTGTATCCATTTATCTGGAATTGCCATGGCTAATCGATAGTCAAAGCCACAACCACCCAGGGAAACTGGAGAACACAAAGCTGGCATTCCTGAAACATCCTAAAATAAAGCAGAATACAATTTACTCCAACTTACCAAATATTCTTACATTCTTTTAATAGTAAAGTCCAGGACTATAAGTAAGTGAAGATACATTTACAGGCAGTACCAACACCAAATAGGAACACATACATACATACATACACACACACACACACATACACGTACATACATATATATATAGGGGTGTGTGTGTGTGTGTGTGTGTATAAACATATACACCAAATATATGTATACTTGGGGGGTTATCTGGAAACATAATTTTTAAAGTAAATAAAATTTTGAAAAAAATCTTATCTGCCAATAAAATTTGTGTTTAATGCCTTTCACTTTAGGACAGCTTCAGTCTCATGAGGCTATTATTTATTTTATTTGGCATCACATGGAGAACACAAGTGGGTCCCTGTGTGGCACAAATGGTTAACTTTCTTGGTTATTAACCCAAAGGTTAGAGGCTGGAGTCCAACCAGAGACACTTCGGAAGAAAAGCCTGGTGATCTTCTTCTGAAAAATCCCACGGAACCGAGTTTTATTCTGACCCAAAGGAGGTTACCATGGGCTGGAAATGACTGGACAGCAACTGGTTAGAGAATAAAAAATGTAATAAACCATTATTCATAACACTTCCTCAAAGTTATTTGCAAGCTAACTGTATAAACATTGTTTCACTGGTTATGGTTTCCAGAAAAAAAAACACATATACACAAAGACATATGGCATGTAACTGTCATACTTATTCATTCCATATATAGCATTGGCATGGAGTGTTATTTGTGTCAATGCTTAGCTTTTGATGAAATGGAATGTAGAGTTAATGCATTAAGGGTAAAGCAGTAAGATTACTTTCCTCACAGTAAGTTACACTTGGAAAGGGTCTTTGAGATTATTTAGTGGATTCTCTTAATTTGAAGATGAAGAAACTGAGGTTTATTGAAGGAAAGGATCTCTAAATATATTTAAAGGATTATGTATTTCTTAAAGACTGAGCCAGGTATCAGACACTAGGCTTCTGGCACAGAGTCTTTCTGCCCTGAATGCCACTTCCACATCACTGATGAGTAAATATACAACCAATCAAACAAGCAAAGAATTAAGTTAAACTATTTGGTATAAAGACTCAGACGTAACAAAAGATACTGTAACACCTGTTGCAAAAATGTGAGCTAAGTAGTATCAATTAAAATTTCACCATATCTTTCAAATAAGTCCTTTTTGTTTGCTCCATTTATGCAGCCACTATCCTTTTCAGTCTTCATTACTGCTTGCCTAGGCTGTTATGTTTCCAACTAGGATTCCCTACCTCCAATTTCTCTTTAGATAAACTGTTGCCAAATTAACATTTGAAGAAATAGTTTCGTATTTATCACAACTCTTCAATAATAATTAAATAATAATATTGACATAATAATTGAAACCTCAAACTCCTTAGGTTAAGATTGAGTTCAACAATTATATATTAAGCATTTATTTTATAATTTATGTTTTAATTACTGCCTCCACACACCAGCAACCCTTGTTAGAATATAAACCCTGTGAGGACCAAATTTTCATTATTCACTAATATATGCCAAGAACCAAGAACAGTACCTGGCTCAAAGTAGATACTGAATATGTCAATTAATATTTGTTGGTTGAATTAATGAAATTGTTATGAAGGATGTGATGATACACAAGACATAATATCTGACATTCCAGAACTTATAAGGTAGGACCTAAACACAAATAGACAACAACCATGAATTGACAATATGATGTAGATGTGATAATTCTTAACTAAAGTACTCTGATTGTGAAATGGAGAGGGCTCTACCTTTCCACAATTAATTTACACTGTTTCAATTCAATTACTAAATATGTCAGCAACTTTGAGTTATTCATCCTTCCCTATGTTTGTCACATGCTTTTCTACAAATATCATTGTCCTAACTATTTGCTAGATTGTAGTATCTTCCTACCCGACTATCACATAAATGGGCTCTCTTAGACCTAGCTCAAAAGTTTCTTCTGTTATAACACCATATCTAAATTTTTCTCACTAAAACACTGAGAGACAAAACATATCACCTCCTTTGGCTTCCACAATAATTTATAAATTGTTTTCTTATGTAAGAGAGATACAGGTAAATGCAGTACATGGTGAATATACATAGTCCATGTATTATGAATGAGATCCCTTCCCATGTCTTCAAGAATTTGTAGGTCAGTCAGAACAAGTGTGTATAGTTCTTATTTAGCCTTACTTTAGTGCAAGAAAGGAGCTCTGGTGGTGTAGCTGTTAAAGCATTAGGGTGTTAATCAAAAGCAGTGGTTTGAACTGTCCAGAAGCTCCTTGGAAGAAAAGTGAGGTAGTTTGCATCCATAAAGATTTACAGCTTTGGGGAGTTCTACCAAGATGATGGAAGAAGCAGACAAGCTAAGTAGACCCTCTGCAACAAAGCAATGAGATACCAATTGAAACCAATACAGAAGACAATTCTGGAACCCTGAACTCTGAAGGGAAGGATAAAGAAATGGATTAAATATCAACTAGTAGAAGAACTTGAATGAAAAAAACAAGTAAGGCGACAAACTAAGCTGGGGACTGCCAGCTGTCCTGAGGGCACAACCATTTTGAATATTCCCGATAGAAACCTGAGAATCGGCCCTGCTCACCAAGGCTGCATGGGCAAGGACTGCATTGGTGCCTAATGACCAGAAAGGAGAACAGTGAGGAAGGAGAAAGGTAGATCTATGGACACTTGGTGGCTGCCCTGAGGGTGCAGCCATTTTGGGTGTTTGCTAGCTGCCAGAGCAGCCGTTTTGAGTGAGTGTAAGTGGCATTCTTGCTTGGACTATGACCAGGAAGTGGGCTCCACTTGCCGAAGACAGCATGGGAAACCACACTAGAGAATAGCATCTGGAGAGGTATGATAGTCCCCTTGTTACTCGTGTACTACATGCTCCCTTGGTGAATAGGGTGTGGCCACCACTCAACTCCACCCCCTTCTACCCCACTCCTCTATGCCCC